GCCTCAGGCCCAAAGATGCATAAAGCATTAGCTGCGGCCTCAGGCCCAAATATAGGTGTTCAACATTCAGGGATTTAAAATCAGGAACTGAGAATCATACTGCAATACATAATAGTGAAATACTGAATCACGCTGAGTTATATGATATAGGAATACTGGATCACACTGAGTTACATTATACTGGAATACTGAATCATACTGAGTTACATAATACTGGAATACTGAATCATACTGAGTTACATAATACTGGAATACTCAATAGGTCTAGAATGAGACATGTATTCTTGAACTGGTTATGAACACTGGAACTTCAACTGTTTATGACATGCTGAGTAAGCTATACTGAGACTTAGGGACATCAAGCCCAAGTCTATATTGAATACGAACTGAGCTCACAACGTTCATAATGAAAGTCATGAACAAGTTACAAAGCTAGAGAATAGAAGTTCTACAACTATTCAAGGAACTAGGCTTAACTATATTTCTGAGGCAATTGATATGTCGTAAAAGAAACGTAATGTAGGGAGAATCATTAACATTCCCAAACATAGAGAGTTAGCCTCACATACCTTAACTTCCTGCTCTTGAGCATAATACAACATTCGCCAACCCTTTCAACTTTAATCTATATCAATACAAGTCAAAGGGATTCCATATTAGCAATAATACTCATGTTTTGGTCACTTAGGCATTTTCTCAAACACTTGGTGGCATAAAGCTTCATAGTCCTTATTAATGGTGTCTCTACACCCAATAACCCATTCTCTTGCTTCTAGATAAATTCTAAAGTCTCAAATAGTTATAATCAACATTATTCTTTATCACCCATAAGGTAAACAACACCCTTAACCAATAATCAACAATCAACAAGCCAAACCTATAATTGTTCATGCTTTTCTATCAAACCCATCAACTCATATCTCATGAACTTGAGTCAATAATCATTAATCCAATGCTAGAATCAATTAGAGGGTGAAGACATTACCTTTTTGACGTTCAATCTTCTTGAATTCGAGTTCTAGGGTTTCTTCTCTCAACAATGATGCCCCAAATGAATATCTAATGATATGGAGGGTTTACCCATGTTAATAAGATGTTGGGATATTGAAATTAACTTAGAATCACCATACCTTGGGGGGTGGAAGGACCCTTAAGGAGTTAGGTTTTTGAGAGTTCCTCTTTCTAGAGCAAGTTTTTTATGTTTTGGGGTTGTGGGGGACGAAATATAGCTTTAAAACGACCCCCACTAGCGCGCCCGCGCATCTGGAGGCCTGCCCGCGCTACTGACCGCGCTAAACGGCAGTAACACTGCCTCAAAATTAGCGCGGCCGCGCTAAGGGCGCGCATATCGCATACTGTTCTGTAAAACGCGCATAACGTTTTGCACAGAGATCCGTTCGGGCTCCATAATATATCGTTGGAAAGCTATTTCAAAGGCCTACAACTTTCATGCTTTGAGTTTTCCCAAATTCCTTACTAATTTTCAATAAAACCTGTTGGAATATGAACCTTCTGCAAACTTAGTCGATTTTGTCAAATCTTATGCACCTCACTTTCCATCTTGATTTTGAAATAACTATTTTCACCCATAATCATCCCGATAGGACTTCATATGTCTAAAATATCAAATTAATACCCATTTAACATATCCACACCTAGTCTGAATGTACGGGGTGTTACAGCTTACTCTTTATTTTGTCAATGGTTGCTTTCTGTTTTGTTCACGTAATATCTTGCCTTGTTATGAGTAGAAGGTTCAGCAAGACCTGACCTTAGCAGAGCAGGAGATATCCCGTGCTAGAATTGTGTGGATTAACCCTTCTTGATCCTGATGTCATTCACTAATTAGGCGCTAAAAAAGGATGCCCTTTTGTAATTGTTCAGCTAGTCTCTTTCCCATGAATAAAGCTCAGGCAAATTGCATGACCTTAGAGGAAGCGGGATACAACCATCACTAATAATTTTCAATTAGCCTCTCTTTAGTGGGTAGACATGCTGAGAAAGTCAGGCTTTTTTTCCCATCCATCGCTTGCCTGATCCTTCAATGTTCAAATTTTCCATCCATCTGTCATGAATGGTTTCATTTGGTATCTGTCTGAAATGAGTTCTTATAATTTTGCATATATTTGGTCTACTGCCTTGTTTTTAACTTCAAACTCTTTTTTAATAGGATTGAGTCACCGAGTTTAAAGCTGCTAGGAATCATGTTGATTATTTCTTTTGGGATATTATTAACAGGTATGCTGTAAACTTACTTTTCCCTCTACTTTTCTTGTTTGCATGGTACACTCTCCTTTCCCCCCACGGTGTGGGAGAATACTGGGTATGTTGTTGTTATTGGTGGTACATTCTCCTTTCAAATAGAAGGAGGCTGAGAAAAATATTCATACAACAATACTAGGTGGAATGAGAAAGTTGAGATGGATACCAGTGGAACAAGAAAGGGAAAGGTACAATATACAAGTACTGAGAATGATGAGGAAAGTGATAAGAGTAGTGACTCCACAAGGTAGTGTGAAGACATAAGCTAAAACCATAAGGAATTGTCATACAATTCTGCTAGGGTGCAATCCATTGAACGGAGCACTACAAAAAAAACACTGGTGCAAAGAGTAGCAAAAATCATAACGAATGAGATGAAAAGAATAATTTTAAAGAGATGTCATGACATATGGGTTAATGAATAGTATAGCCATTGAGTGTAGATAAAAGAAAACGGAGAAACATGGAATTCACATAGTTTAGCTGAATTGATTGGTTAAGGCTGAGTTCATTTGTGTTATTCTCTTCACAACTATCTCTATCCATTTGACTACCTCGTTATCTTCAAATTTGAGTGCTTAATTAACTCTATTATGTTGTGACTTTTCATTAATTCTGTTGTCTGTAAATTATATCTGTTCAGTAAGCACATCTGACCTTTATTGATTGATGATACAGTTGCAAAGGAAACAGAGTTTCAGTTTTGGGGATTTATCTTTGTTATGCTAGCTGCCGTTATGTCTGGGTTCCGCTGGACTATGACTCAGATACTTCTGCAGGTAGGATCATATTCCTTGCTTTAATTGTTAGCAGTAAATTCTTTTCTCAGTATTTTCATCATCATACTTGTGCTAACTTTGTCTATTTTGTGTTCTTTCTCCAATATTCCATCCAACGGTTGCGCGCTGACCAAAAACTGTCATAAAGAAAGAAGTCTATGGTAAGGACTACCAGCAAATTATAGCAAACTTCAAAGCTCTGAAAGTGCATTTATTCATGGTGTAGTTATGTTATTAATATTGTTGGTGAATGAGTTATATGTTCTTCATTTTACCTAGTTTTGGTTTCTCTTAGGAAGTTAAGTTATTTTATTTATTGTTTTAGTTTTGTCATAATAAGACCAGCTGGTATTTATTATCTTACGAATGAAGATAATAGGTTTTGGGCATAGTTACCCACATCTTTACTGAAGAGAATCATGCTGAATTGTCCTCTAGCCCATGCTTATTTGAATTATTCAGAAATGAAAGATTCATGTAGCCAGATCATGCATCAAACTGAATGTCTTGGCTTAAAGTTCTAATTGGGAACCTTGAAGAGAAGATAATATTTGATTTTGTTTCTTGTCCAGATTGCAAAATTTTCTAGTTCTACTCTAATACAGTTTGTCTTGACCCTAGTCTGGCGAAATTGATAGTTAATCAGGTTTTTTAGTTTAATTCTGGTAAGAACATATATTATATGTGAATCTACGTCATTACATATCTATGGTATGATATCTGGAGTAATTAGATTTTATCTTGAGAGAGAAAGAGAGAGGAGGAGGAGAAAATGGAAAGTCAAATAGATCAGAGTATCTTGACCGGAAGGAGGAAAGAAATTGAAAAAGGAAAAAGAGAAGAAAACCATAAAACACATGTTGCATTGTGAAGGTCGAGTACTATGGAGAAGTGGCAGTTAAAGCAAAATGGGAATGCCTATTATGCCCTCAGATTTAACATGTTTGTGAAGGGAAACAAACAGAATGGAATAATTGCAACCTTTTTAGGAGTTAGAGGATTGGTGACAAGAAAGCATTTTGGGGGCCTAGTTGCCAACACAACATTGTTTTGATCAAGTAAGCTTTATTGCCAACGCAATTTTGAGGGACTTCATAGCAACTGATAGCTTAAAGCTTCAAGTTTACAACTCTGTGGAACAAAGACGAGGCATGCTTTTACCTTGAAATTCCAGCATACTGTTGTAGCCAAATTCCCTTTAACAGTAGCTAGATGATTCAGCCTTGCGAGTTCTAAACTAATTGTTCAATTATTTAGTGAATGAAAAGTTGGCCAATGCTCTTAAGAAGTATATAATGTCCAAACAGATTGTGTAAGAAATACATTAAGACTGAATGATGAACACAAGTATTACCACAGGACTTACACAAATTATCTTGGTTATCAGAACTTGCATCCCTACCATTTCTTAATAGGTTCCTCTGCTATTTACAACTTTATGCATAAGGCCTTTAGTTCCGGAGGAAAGCAACCACTGCCCCGTCAGAAAAATGTTTAAACTGGATTTGGCCCGATCATGTAAGAGCATTCTGTAGGCGTGTGAGGAAGTTCCAACTAACGTAGTGGTCTACTGATGGCATACAAGAGTGTGGCCTAGTGGTCAATAAAGTGGGTGCAAATCATTAAATCCCAGTAGAGACAAAGAAATATCAGGTGATTTCGGCCCATTTGAGTAAACATTGGTGGGCGAAGTTACCTGGTACGTGTGCTGGTGGGAGGTAGCAAGTATCTAGTGAAATAGTTGAGGTGTGTGTAAGCTGGCCCAGATGCCAACATCTTTATTAAAAGAAAGTAGTGGTCTATTGATGCCCCACCCACTCCTTCCAAGGAATGCAAGAAGTGCTTACTCTTTTTCTCGACATTCATGGGAGCTGTAAACCAAGAGAATTAGTACACTTCTGTTATTAGAAAGTTAAACCCGAATAAAAGTTAGTACTTTCTCAGGGTACAAAGGGCAATGTTGAGCTCATCTAATCTATTAGACATCCTCCGGATTGCACGAACTCAGTGTGCTTTGTGTTTTTCTGTCAAAATCATGTTTGCTTTTAAGAAAAATAGCTACTTGGAATATTATATATTGAAATTTATCCTCTGAATGTTAACTAGTAGTTTGTACATACATTTATGACACACTTGCTTCGGTTATTTCAGGTTTAAAAAATCCACTCATGCTAATGAGCTATGTTACTCCAGTGATGGCTATTTCAACTGCTGTGCTGTCTCTCATTTTTGATCCATGGCATGAGTTCGGAGACAACATTTACTTTGATAGCTCATGGCACATTACTAGAAGTTGTTTGCTGATGCTTTTTGGTGGAACATTGGCTTTCTTTATGGTATGCATGTATATCAAGATCAATCAATCCGAGTTTTTAATTATCCAACATTCTAGTGGTAGATTTCTTTTACTGCCTTTTCTTTTTCTCTTCTGGAAAGTGTTTGTCTACAGAAACACCAGAATGTCTAGAAGCTATAAAAAATTTGATACACCTTCCATGCACATAGAGATAGTTTTCTTAATACTCTGCGCTTTTGTTTACTTGCAGGTTTTGACGGAGTATATTCTTGTGTCTGTTACTAGTGCAGTAACAGTGACGATAGCGGGAGTTGTAAAGGAGGCTGTCACTATCTTGGTATGATCTAAAAACCAAGTGTCTCTATCGTTTTCTCCTACTTTCTACAATTGCTTTAGCGCGAGCAGCAATCTTAAGTAAAGTAGTGTTACTGACTGATCAAAATAAAAGACGTACATGTATTGTAACTGAATAACTGGTGAATAGTTAGTCACATTTCAGCAGTTCTCTGATAGCAGTTTACTGTATGGAATTTATGGTTTGTTTCTTCTTGATGAACATTAGGAGTGTTAATTAGAAGGCCATACAATTCCTTCTTCCCGTAAATAGCATTTGGGGGAGGTGAAACACATAGATGGTTTTGTCCTATATGGGCTTCGGAAGTAGCAGAGCCCTTGAAGCAATAACAGTTGAATACCCCTTCGTTCCAAAAATTCAAATAAGATTTTGCTATCGTAGGGAGCTTGAGCTGTAAGATATTGCCATCTCTGAAAACTAGAAAGAAAGTTTAGCAAATGTGACTTACAATACAAAGTAATAACATTATCAGACTAATCATGTTCCATTGAATGTCCATTTCCAAGTATATATGGTGGCGCATATAAGACATCTAGGAGAGCACTTGATCATGCCATGATCCATCAGGCAGTGAATACATGCTTGCCAATGAGCGTGATGTAACTTCGATATTGCATGCTGTTGTTCTCTTTTATTGCGCATAGACCTCATTTTCTTAGATATTTTTATTTCAACCCAATCATGTATCTTCAATTGCATTAGACTGATATAGAATCAGTTTTCACTAGTTGAAAAGTTTTTCCGGGACATCCATTGTTGCTTCAGTTGCTGAAACTAATTGGTAATTATGTCGGTGACATTTTCAGGTTGCTGTGTTTTACTTCCATGATAAGTTTACCTGGATGAAAGGGGTTGGTCTCTTGACAATAATGCTTGGTGTCAGTTTGTTTAATTGGTACAAGTGAGTATTTGAGCTCTCATATTTATTGCAAAAAGTTATCTTGTGGTTACTTACTTCCTGCTGCTGTTAAAATTAGATAAGTTTTTCTTTAAAGACCTGCTGCAGATGTGCAGCAGGTGTCTACTCCTATTTATCTTGTCAGTTCCTCACCCTCAGTTCGTATAAAGTTCACTTGTCTAACTACTACTGCAATATACAACAACAACAACAACAACATACCCAGTATTATCCCACCCCGTGGGGTCCGGGAGGGTAGTGTGTACGCAGACCTTACCCCTACCTTGTGAGGATAGAGAGGCTGTTTCCAGTAGACCCTTAGCTACTACTGCAATATGTTTCCTCATTTTAATAGTGATTTCTTCAATCTCATTTGGCATAAAGTCCACTTGTTTGTTGGTGAAGATAAGCTTTTCTATTGCTACTAGTTGGATGTTTTGCCTTATTTATTAATTTGCAGCATTAGATGAGCTACAGATCCTACGCTTCATTTTGCACCAAGCATGATGTTCACATTTTGCATGTGTGCCATAATAGAAAAACTAATATGAAGATTCTTCATTTAGATTGCAAATCTCGTTTTATTTTTTTTATTAACCTGACACACCCTTATATGTAGAAGTTTTTAGATTTTTTCCTGATTGTAAGTCTTTTTCTTTTGCCATTTAAATGGTTTCATATGAGCCTTGTTTCTCTTGCTTAGATTCATAGTCTTGGCCATTTAGAGAAAAAGGTCTCAACTGTGACCAGCTCTGTCCAACACTTACACCAAACATTCGTTCCCCTTTTCCACAATAATGTGGATATTAGTATTACTGATTAGATGTAAGTAATGCGCTCCATCCGTCGCAATTTACATGACATTCTTTCCTTTTATGGTGGTTCATAAGTGTTTGACACTATTTTATTAATAGTATTCTGCCAAACAATTTTCAATAAATATAAAAAAACCAAGTACATTGGGAGTGGTTGTCCATGACTTCACTCGCAAATACTGAAGTCATTATTTCTAAGTTGATGTTTGGCCATCAATATTTGCAAATATTGAACTTTAGTATTTGAAATACTAGTGAAATATTGAAAAACTTTTGTGGAGTATTTCAAGTGAAATAATGGTTTTCAATCACAAAAATTCTATTTATTTTTTCAAGTGAAATTCATGTCTAAACACAACTTCAGCTTCCATATGCTCTTTTCACTTTCAACTTCAAATACTCTTATGTTTTAACGTCGACCAAATATTGTCCAAATGCATACTTAATATACAAAAGTAAACTTTAATATGATGATTTTCATATACTATTTATTCTTCAACAACCATTTTATATGACTTTATTTGCTTGCTATTTATATAATTCAATAATCAAATTAATATATTAAACTCTATGCTCAGTCAAATATTGCCGTATAAAGTGGGAGAGAGCTTAGTCAATATAATAGAGATGGCAATGATATAGTATAAATCTCTATTCTCATGTATCTCCTTTGTTTCGCTTTTTTCTCATCTTGCACTTTAAGACTATATCTTTGGTTGATCTAACTCTTTAATCCTTGATAAAAAATAGCTAAGTTATTAACACACTAGTGCATATTTGCTCGGAGCAACTTTCTATTTTTGGACACCGTTTGCATTAATTTCAACTTATTTTCTGCTAGTTCAGTAAATCTGACATTGCATGGCCAGGGTTTTTACAAGAAAACATGTAACAATGTATTTTACTTAAGTTACAGCACTAATCAAACCAAACTTGTTTATAATTCGTCTTGCAAATCGCTAATAGGATAGGGTTGTCATGAGAAGCATATTGTATGTTGAATTGACAAAAAAGTTGATCCTTGCTAATTTTTACATTAAATGTTCCTTCCTCCAAAACTAATGATGGAATAAAGGGTTGTAAAAGGAAATAATTACTTGAAAAACGGTGATTTTATTAGAGTCTTGGAGTATTTAGTTCTCTATGGCCCCCAGCCGCTAGGTCGGTTTCATTGCCTGTTATCATTTACTGAATCTATTATTGTACTTCAAGTTTTTACAGAAAACTGAATCGTGTTACATCATAAAACAGACAGGTTTTTTTTATCCATAAGATGTTTATGCCCATGTTGCCGGTGAATTTTGGAATTGTTGGATGGTTTTGCTGGATATTGAATTTGTTATCCACTTGTGCTTTTCAGGTATGATAAATTACAAAAAGGAAATCTAAGTGAAGATGAAATGTCAGGATCCTCAATGCAAAATGCAGCTGCAAAGTATGTTATTCTTGAAGGATTGGAAGATCAAGATGATGGTCCTTGAAATTCCCATACCGCATTATCTGCATTTGCAAATTTAGTAAGCTTCTTAACTATAATGCTCTGATACTCTCAGTATGTTGCATATGAAGGGCGAAATGCTTTTTATCATCATAGCTTTTTATGGACTTCAGTTAAAAGCATCCTCTTGTGTCTACTCTGGTGAATAAACTTATAAAAATAATAAATGTATATCAGATAAAAGAATTCTTCAAATCCAAAAAAATGGATGTAGGAGGTTATTCCACATCCTACTAAAGCTCTGTATCTATGCTCAGGACCAAATTATGAATATTACTGTGGTTGTCTGTATTTTATATTCTAGGAAAATCTGTATTTGTTGGAAAAACGTCCCAGAAAAATATTTCAGGAAGTCGAGCCTGCGTTAGGCTACTATTTTGGTTGGGAAGTGGCGGAAAAGGCTGGTAGTTAAACCTATTACGTATTTTTTTTTTGCTTTTGGTCTGTGGACGGTATGGAGAATAGAAATCGTTCTTGATCCATGCACTTGATATGAAACCAAGCTCTTTTCTTCTTTGAGAAAGATATGTGAAACCAAGCTCTTGTGGATGAGATGAAGATGAGAAAGCGTTACTCCGCTTTGATCAGCCTAATTGCTGATTCTAGATTATACTTAATTTTTCAGTGCTGTATATATTTGATGTAGTTGGTGAAAATTACTTTGGTGTAGCTATATATATTGGTTAACATTTTTTATTTCCCGTGAACTTTATCTATCTTTGTTCGTCTCACAAGGCATACCATATTAGCTGGAGGTAGTTGGATTTGAATCCAGTTGCTTGTTTCTGTTTATGTACTTGCTCAATTTTCATGAATGCTTGTTACACTGATAAACTATGGATAGAAGTTTTTACGAGTCTAACAAAGATTTTTTAGCCTGCATATACGTGTAGAGTTGACCGACAACTGTTTGATTGTGATACGATTATTAGATGACTGCTGCCAATGCAGATATTTTCAATAGAGGATGAGTGTCATATTTGAAGTTTTTATAAGTCTAGCAAAGATTATTGTAGTCTGCATTACGTGTAGAGTTGACCGACAACTGTTTGATTGTGATACGATTACTAGATGACTGCTGCCAATGCTGATATTTTCAAGGAAGGGTGAGTTATCATATATGGATTATTATACCAAGAAGCTCAAATGGGACCAAAGTGACAGCATCAACTGGTCTTTGTTCAGCTTAACCCTGCCCTAGACAGCCTTTTATCAGTTTGCTGGTGAAAGAAAGAAGCTTTTGTTCATCATTATTGTTGGTAAAAAGATTGATCTGTTTCCATACATAATTCTAAGGGCTCCAATTTTGTTAAACAATTTTTTTACATTGTTCTTATTGTATCTCTGTAGTTTGGCATCAAAATTTCATCCTCATTTATTCAAATATTTTTCCGGTTCTATCTCCTTCTCGTTTGTTCACCTTAGTAGGCATTGACCATTGTTATATATCTTTAGTTTACTTGTAAAACAGGTTTGACATAGTATTTTAGACAGGCTTTTGCTTTGATTTATGCGTGGAGCTTCATCAAGAATGTTTGAACTAATCTCTTGTTTCCTGTCAATTTTTTTCTATCACGAAATGAATAATATTATAAGGTATTCAAGAAAATGTAGTTCATTTAAGGATTAGGTAGAATTAGTTAGAAGTGCCTCTTTTTATTGCTATTGACTTAATGTGATTGCTCTCGTTTCTCGCTCGTAAACCATATGAAATAGACGTAGCAGACACCTTCACAAAAGCTGGTTAGATTGGAGTTCGTGCAGTCCATAAGTGGAGCCCTGATTTTTATTAAGGGATTTCGAAATATAAAGAAATAAACACATAATAGAGAGGAAGATGCAAATATAGATGAGAGAGTTTAAGTGGAAATGATACCAGGTAGCCACTTTTAAGTATGTTGTTTAAAATATATTCATAGTTTACAATATATTTAAAGATTAGTCAATCTCGCTCAAACTTTAGGACACAACGTCTTAGAGTTTAAACATCAAAATTCAAACTTCAAAACATCGTGTCCTAAAGTTCGAATTGTATCCTCAAGTTCAAAACTTATGTCTTGAATTTTAAATTAGTAGTTCAGAAATTCAGGACACTTAGTCCTGAATTTCAAATTAGCATCTTAAACATTCAGGACACTAAGGGTGTGTTTGGTATGAAGAAAATATTTTTCAATTTTTCCATGTTTGGTTGGCTTAAATGTTTTGGAAAACATTTTCCTCATGAACTCACTTTCCTCCAATTGGAGGAAAATGTTTTCCCTACTAAAAGAATAGAAAACATTTTCCAAAACTCCTTCTCAACCTTCCCCACCCCCACCAACCCACACCCCAC